GTATACTAGTCAAGTAGCTCTATGACAAGAAAAATCACAGATGTGGGAAGGCACCACTAGAGGGACTGTGCAGAATTTTTCAAAGCTTAAAGCCAGTGATCAAACAAGCTTAACTGCTGCATGAGAACGCAAGTTGGAGGAACACCTGTGGAACAACAGAGCTAAAATTTGTGCATGTCTTTGTTTTTCCATCATTTATCAAAATAAATGATAGTTTATCACCAATCTAGTGAGGAAAAAAAAAAAAAGAAAAATATGAATATGTCAGTAGTTCTACTGTTTTTCTAAAAACGGGTATTAGAGTCATGTGAACACATGCAAAAAAAAAAAAAAAAAAAAGACATGCATCTGTTCTATCACTATATAGCATAAAAGGATGCCCTACTTTCTCTTGGAAAGAAAAAGGTGTTGTAAGCTAGGCCTTTGGTAGCCCTGAGAATTTTAGTGAGATTGTAGGTAGTACATGCTTTTGCATTTTGTGGCTTGTTCTTCACCTGCACTATCTGAAAAACAGGAATACATAATAACAGCTTTTAATACTTCATAATAATGCGTTATTATTTGTCTTGGATGTTCCTCTAATCCTATGATGCAATATCGCTTTTTTCTCCATCTGTGTATGAACTTACATACCACAGAATTACAACAAAAAAAAATATGAGAAATATGTACTCTCATGGGGAAAACATGTCAACCCTACACCGTGTTTAAAAATGATCATTCCTTTACTTAAAAATAATTAAATAAATAAATAAATGTTTTGTATGAAGAAAGAGACTTACCAGGATCTAGGCTTTGTAGCTTTCCCCCCTCTCCCCCTCTCCCCCCCCCCCCCCTCTTTTCTGTTGAATTCTGAATTTCTGGTGAATTCTGAGATTCACCAATTTCTGCTGAAGATAAGAAGAAAACTCAAATACTATCATCAGTATAGGCGCATAAGTGATCTCTCACAAAGTGTTCAAAATGGTTTTGGTAGTCATTCCTCCAGACCCATAAACAGAAACAGCAAAAACGCAGATCTCTGAAGTGACCTATGTGCCTTGAGTTTTGAGCAATAATTTGTAAGAGGCCTGTTAGGGGGACAACAACAACAACAACCACAAACAAAAAAACAAATGATGATTAAGGTGAAAACTTAAGAACATATACGTCTAACAATAAATATTTGAGCATCTTATCATTAGTAGAATTTATGCATTCAGTGAAAATGAAGGCAGATTGGGTTATATCAGAGATACATGGGTTTGTTCCAAACAACAGAAGCTCTATATACTGATGGTAGAGTCTTCTAACTCTTTCTCTGCTACATATTAGATAATTTGAAGCAGGCAGAAAATATTCATGCTATATGCTAGATGATCTGAAGCAGGTTGAGACAGCAGGACAAAATCAAACCCAGAAGTACACTTAAATAAAAATATGTTTTCCATTAATAATTCCTTTTTATTTTTTTTTAAAGCTAAAACTCCTATCTGTGTAAACATTCTCATATTTCTATTCATAGTTAAAGATTTCTATTCGGTAGTTAAAAATCTGTAGAGAAAAGCTGCATACTGAAACAAAGCTGTTGACTAAAATAAGGTCAAATCAAGTAAGTATCAAATACTGGTCTTCAGGAAGAATAAGTGTTAATCTGGAAGCAACAATTAAAATTGCTTCCAAAACATATTTTGTTGTGTGAAATCCAAAGAAGTTGGGGGAAACCTAGATTTTTCTTTTTCACCATATGAACTAAAATTTGCCAATTTTTCTCATTCCTACCATTCCCCCCCCCCCCCCCCCAAAAAAAAAAAAAAAAAAAAATTATAAGCAAGATCTTTCTAGGAAGCTGTTTTCAAATATAGTATTGGTACTTACTGGTTAAAAGGCATCACAGCAAACTACTGTAATCCCAGGTTTTACTCCAATGGAAGCTACTGAGTTTTAATGAAATAAAGAAGGAATCCTACAAAAAGGGGGAACAAACAAAAATGACTAAGAATGTGTGTAAAGGAATATTGTAATCAAAAATTATTAATTAAAATTCTAAGGAGGCAACGGGCCTACAAAGCAGGATATGAAAAGAATAAATCTGAGATAAACGTAATCAGCTCTGTAGCTGATATAATTCACTATAGGATACTTAAGGAAAAGCCAGAGTGATCTCTGTGGTATAAGTACTACAAGTGTTCTTGACATGTTCAAGAAGACAGCTATTGTAAGTATCAAAAAAACAGCAGGATCAGGAAATATGTGAATTAGCTTAACAAACTGAAGTTTCTGGATCAAATTATTCAGCAATTTGCCAACACCAACAAAAATATAAATAAATAAATAAATAAAAGAGTAAACAAATAACTTCTGTTGATAACATTGTATCAAGTACTCTAAGAGAGTGACTTTAACTTAACCCTCAAGCAGCAGATTTTGTATCTTAACAAGACTCTTTTGTCTCTATTATAATAATGGTATGCTAATTTTATACCACCCAGTTTCTTCACCAAAATACTGCGTGAGGCCAAGTTGGTTATCTACAGTTCTAAGAAGTCAGCTGTAACCTCTTTATCAGAACTTTCTCTTGATGTTACAGATAAATGCTTTCAAATCAATATCACAAGATCTCGCTTTTGTTTTCCTATTTGACTGGCGCTGTATCACTCACCTTTAATTCTAATTAATCAGACTTCTGTATCGACTAATTCATCAGTCTGGCCAGGATCAATGCTAGGTTGTCAGGCCTACAATTATGTGTTCATCATACCAAATGCTACTACAAGATTCATTTTTTTTTTTTCTACTGTGCTTCTCTGATATATTATTATTGACTGTATGGGATACTCTACCAGTTCTATATCCAGCTCATTTGCAGAACGCACACCGAGACGTAAAGGACAGCAGAATAAAATGTTGCATATGGTGAAGTGTTAGTTGGCATAACATCATGTTAATTCAATCACTTTTTTTTTCTCATATTTTGAATTTTAATTTTGGTTTGTGGTACAGTAATATCCTGATTCTGATACTGTGAAGCTAAATAGGGAAGTAAAATGGAGCAATGGAGTCCAAAACCTATAATGAAGGGATTGAAAAAATGAGAAAATCATGACAGTATTTGCAGTAATTGAAGGAGCCATCAAAGAATATGACCACTTGTACTAGGTGTTACTCAACCTTAGAACTGAAAAATTCACAAGAAAGTTTATATCAGCAAAACACGTATTTAGGAATCGAGTAAATGCAAACAGACAACACAAAACCACACAGACAAACAACCCACAGCCACATTTACAGTAGTTTGATATTATTGGGATCCAAATGGGTCACAGTCATACTCGATATCCCCAGTTTAAAAAAAAAAAAAAAAAAAAAGCTTTTATAGAGTATTATGCTGCCCTGCAGTTTCCTAGCCATTTGGGAGGAGTGTTGCCAGCAGGTCAAGGGAGGTGATCCTCCCCCTCTACTCAGCCCTGGTGGTGCCACACCTGGAGTCTTGTGTCCAGTTCTGGGCTCCCCAGTACCAGTGGGACATAGAACTACTGGAGCAAGTCCAGAGGAGGGCTTCGAAGATCAGAGGATTGGAGCACCTGACGTACAAGGACAGGCTGAGAGAACTGGGCCTGGTTAGCCTGGAAAAGAGAAGACTGAGGGAAGATCTCATTGATATATATAAATATCTGAGGAGAGGGTGTTGGGAGGTTGGAGCTGGTCTCTTTTCAGTTGTGCCCAGCAACAGGACAGGAGGCAACGGGCACAAACTGAAGCACAGGAGGTTCTGGCTCAGTGTGAGGGAGCACTTCAGAGGTGCCTTCCAACCTCACCCACTCTGGATTCTGTGAATCTAAGGCCATTTATTTTTCCTCGAGTCATCCATTGTGTTTAAGTGCAGGCATGAAGGGAATTTGGAAAGATGATACAGGAACAACACAATCAGGTACCAAGATCTGGACTGTTTCCAGTTTTGCTGTACAATACTGGCCAAACAGCTTTATCTTTTGTGCCATTTCCTTTCTGACTTTCCATTTCTCTGGATAATTGAGATGAGATTGTTTTCATTTTTTAAGGATGTGAAACTAACATAGCTTCCCTGTTTGTCATTTATGTTTTTCATAACTTTTTAGCCTATGGGCTAAATTTGCTCTCCCCTGCCTGTCTCAGAGCCCTGCAACTTTTGTGAAAGTTGGCCGAAGAAAGGAGAAAGAGCCCTGACTGCCCCACTGAGTGGAAGGTTGGGCGCTTATGTCCAGATGAATAATACTGATAATACTCAGCACATAAATGCTGAGATTAATCAACAAGGGTGTACCAGCAAACTGATAAGCAAGGAGAAGCAACAGCTGCCCCTCCCAAAATTGGTGGGGTTATATTATTGACAAGATAAAGGAATGGTAGGAGGAAGGTGTGTGAAGCAAGCATATCTATAAAGGGACATAGGATGCAAACCTGTGGAAAATCAGGATTTATTAGTTCTGCAGAGCAGGACTTGTGTAATCCCAAGAGTCTGGATTGTCGGTACCACCCCGGGTACTCCTATATATTGACAAAATGACAAAGGAAGCAGCTTTATCTAAGGATGTGTGAGTAAAACTTCAGGCGGCACCTGTTGTAACTCAGGCGTTGAGTGACCAACCCCTGGCTCCCCCAAGCCGTGTATCAGCCCATCTTTTAATAACATCCCTCAACAGCAAGCCAAGGAAAATGTGAAGCTTTCCACAGAAGGGCGTAACAGGTGGAAACCTTTCAACCACACGCGTGGCTACAGAGAGAGGGGAGAAGCCGCGGCGTGTCTGTGAGGAGGCACGAAGCAGCGCCCAGGTGCCCGCCATCGCCTGCCTCCTCACAGAGCTCCGCCACCGAGCGGGAGCCGGGAAGCGACGGGGGAGTCCCCTCACGGCCCGGCTCTTCCTCGGGCAGGCCCGGGGCTGTGGAGAGGGAACCTCGGGGCCGCCCGGGATTGCGGGAGGCGGCGGCCACAGGAGTGGAAGGGGGCGGCCGGCGCCTCCCCGCGGCTGGGGCCGGGCCGGGCCGGGCCGAACGCGGAAGCGGGCGGCGGCTGGTGTCGGTGCGCGGCCAGCGGGGCCGGGCGCAGGATGCGAGGAGGAGGAGGAGGAGGAGCAGCGGGAGGAGCGGCAGCAGTCGGAGGAACCGCCGCTGCGGCAGCATGAGCGGGGCCGCGGCGAAGCAGCCCCCCGGAGCGGGGTCCGCGGACAAGGCGGCGGCGGCCGCCGGGGACTCGGTGCCGGAGCCGCCGCCGCCGTCGCTGCTGAGCGTGGACGTGACGGGTTTGGTGTCGCAGTTCGCCAGGAGCTTCGTGCTCATCTTCCCCGTCTACGTGCTGGGCTACCTGGGGCTGAGCTTCAGCTGGGTGCTCATCGCCCTGTGCGGGCTCTTCTGGATCCGCAGGCACCGCGGCGGCAAAACCTCCCGCCTGGGCCGGGCTCTCGCCTTCCTGGAGGACGAGGAGGAGGCGGTGCGGCTCAGCGTCTCCTCGGCGGATCTGCCCGCCTGGGTGAGTGCCCAACAACGCCCTTCGGCGCTTCCGAGGGAGCAGCCGAGCCCCGCGGCCGGCCTGGGGCCCGCCGCTGGCCGCCTCCTCCTCCTCCCCGGGCCGCTGCAGGCCCGTAGCTGGAAGGGAGGAGGCGAGGAGATGCCGGCGTTGGGGTGCCCGGCCCCGCTCCGCCAGCCTCCCTCGGGACCCGGGACCGTCCCTCCGCCGCGGTGGCCTGGCCCCGCCGCCGCCTCCCGGCCCGTTAGCGCCTGAGGCGGCCGCCCTGCCGTGCCCTGACCGCCGCCGCGGCCCGGGTTTCCCTCGCAGAAATAAACTTTACCTCAGGCTTTGGGTTGCCTTTTTAATTATTTTGTATTTTTTTTTCCCCCTCGGATGTCAGCGACGCCCGCCTTTGGGACGTCGCGAGGTCTCTGCGATGTCTTGTGACTGGGGAGAAAGGTTTTCTTTTTTTTTTCTTGAAAAGTTGAGAGCAAAGGCTGACAAAACCAGCGTCTTAACGGCTTTAAATAAAGTGTTATTTAATAGGCAATGACAGAAAAATGAGGTGGGATTCTTGGCTGGTTTCAGTGTGAGGGGAGGGCTAAGGTGAGGGCGCTCAGGTGGCCGTATTTGAGCATCGCTGTGGTTGGCTTTAAAAGGTTTTCTTCGAAAGTGGAACATTCCTGTGAAAGTTTGGGGCTTTCTAATAAATATTTACAGCTAGCTGAAGCTCAGCTTCACAGCTGGCTACTAGCTCTTTGTAATTTTTACCTGTGGCGTTAAATTTCTTTAAACACAGCTAACAGCCAGCCACCCAGCAGCGCTCATCAAGGCCTCGGGTGTCCTGTTCTGCTGGGGTAATCGGCTGTGAGGAGCTTGGTGCTATCTTAGTCTCCACATCAGAAGTCTTGGGGATTTCTGCTGAATCTTTCCATGGGATTTTGTTGCTGCCTGTTCTCTGCTCGGTGATAGCCATGCGTGTCTCTGCAGGGTGCTCTGTGTGCCTGTGCACTAGGCAGGCTTGCAGTGTTCAGTATGTAAGTTGCGGTCTTCTTGTCATCAAATTGTACCTGATGTGACCCATCCCAGCTCTGATAAGGAAGTTATGTGAGTTGCAGACATCCAGAGTGAATATAGGGTATAGGTGTGAAATGGGAGACTTCTTACTTCTGTTTTCTTGTGTCTTTTATCCTAGTTCTTTTTTTTTTTTTTTTTTTTACAAGATCGTGGTAAACATGGGAACTGTATATAAAAGAGATAAGGTGATTTTACTGCTTGAAGCTGAGATGCGAGTCTTAAATAAAGTGTCCAATAGCTCTTACAATAGCGCTTACAATAGCTCTATGGGTTCTTTTTTTTTCCTGTTACCATGCAGTCATATAATGGAAACGTTCTGATTTGACGCATTTAAAATAAATTAATTGAACCTGGGTTTGTTGTGAGGGTTGTATAAGTAACTATGTGCCAGTAACTAGGCAGTGGATACTCCTGCTTACTGCTGTGTGTAAACTCTAAATCGTAATTAGTTACCTTTGATAAAATAGCAATTAATTCTTGCATGGAATTGGCCAAATACCTACAAATTTAGAAAGGTGCCTCTTGACTTGAATGTATGCTGTGGGTAGAAATTCATAGAGAGAAATGAGTGCTGGCTGCAAGCACCTGCATATCATAGTGCTGTCAGAAAGCAATTGATCAGTATGCAGTGTTTCCCTGAAGGTGTGACTGTCTGATACGTCAGTTGGCAGTTGTATTGTAAATCACTCTTTCCTTTTTCTTCCCCCCCCCTCTTTAATCATATTGTTAAATCTTAAAGGTCTTGTTTCTTTTCCTTCTGCTAACTGTATTCTATATTCTGGAAGTATCATGCATCCAAATAAATGTAGCTTCCAGACTGAATGCAGCCTGGAAAACAGAAGTCCAATCAAAAGTGTTTTTTGTCTGCTCTTATAGTCATTAAGCTTCTAATTATTCTTTTTGCTATCTGTGTAACTTGTCTCGGACAATGGCTATTCTCTTTCCTTCTCTTTTCTATTTGTTATCCTAGAGTATCACAAATTTCAATCATTTTGTGTAAGACAGTGGACAGTGTATGGAGCCTGATATCTCTTACTATTGATTCGTTACTGTTGTTCCAGTTTATCTGTCTAATATGAGCTCCAAACTAGTGTGTGCTCTTTTGGTTTCTGATCATGGAAATAGAGTTAAAATGCAGCACTGTCCTACTCAAGTAAGTTAAAATATAGGGCATTTTATATTCTTCAGGGACTGAAATTGAGATGTAGTGAGCTGTTTTTTTCAATTAATATTACCTAACATCCCAAACACTTGCTGCTTCTTTTTTTTTTTTTCTATTGTTATTGGAAAAGAATCTCAGGTGAGCAGCAATGTATGTAAGGTGTGATTTTTATTAGTTTTTCATTTTATTTTTTCTCATACCTGCATTAGGAGTGATTACTGCATAAGCCATTTATCTCAGTAATATTTCACTGACTTACTTATTTTTAAGAAAGTGGTTATTGCAGGAGTAATGTGTTAAGATTTGTCCTGTGACTATGCTTAGTAATGATTTGCAAGTAATACTGTTGTGCTATCACACTACAGTTAGTAATGTTAATTATTAGTTTCCTAAAAAGATTTAATTTTTCCATAACCAGATGGTTATATGATAAGAACATTCTGTTCTGTGAAAGGAATGAATTCAACATGAATATAAGTCATTTGAAATGTAAATACTCCGTTATTTAAAATATTATGCTTAAAGATCACATGCTAGAACACAAACTCTGCGGGAAGCAATTTTTCTTCTCTGTTCCTTGCACTTTGTATTACTAATAAAAGTGGATGGGGTCAAGAAATAGTTTGTTCACTGTCGTAATAAGATCTGTACTCATAGGCCTGCTAACGTGTAGTTATAGCTCTGCTGCATGTTTGGGAGCTGTCACTGGTTGTATGGGGTAGGAGGGAGGAGAGTTGGGCGCTTTTCCAAGTCATTTGAATTAGGCAACAGAATTTACAATGCAAAATGACTGGAGATCAAAATGGTCTTTAAATAAAGTCAGTGTTTCCCCTGTCTTAGCAACGTTTCATACACTATATGTATTTTATACTGGAATAAATGTAATTAAGATGCAAACATATATAAGGAAAGCAGCAATTAAGAATCCTTACTTTGAATAGAGAAGGTAGGAAACCAGGACTGAAACTTTAAAGGCAAGGCATCATGTTGCTTTAGATGATGAAATTCCATTACTGTTTTAGAAATAGAAGTGGAGTAACCAATTTACTTCATTCTTTCTCAAAACAACCAAAAGAGTTGCCTCGTTTTGCCATTTTAAGGGATTTGGGGTTGTTTTATGTTACTTTCCTGATATATTTGCAGTTACTGCTCAGCATTGTTTTGGATAAGTAAAATTTACTCCTCTTTTCTTCAAAGTAGAGATAAAAGGCCATGCTGACTTTTTTCCCCCGGATTAATTGTAAATTTGGCCTTGTACCAGGTCCTGTATCTGTGCAGTCTGTCAGCAGTCAGCAGGAGACCAAAATAGGAACAAATCTTAGTGGTTTTAGATAATTGATTCTGAAAACATGTTTGGAGATTTTTTTTTGTTTCTCTTTCCGTGTATTATATTATACAGAAACCGAAGTAGTGTACATCTTTGTAGTAAAATTAGTGTCATATTAATATATTGATTACAAATTTTTGATAGTATTTTGTGTCCTATAGACAAGCTTCTGCTGTAGTTTGGGGTGATTTTTATGGTGGCATTACTGATTTTCTTATCTACCTTAAGGTAAATGAAAAAACCTGCCCAAACTGAGATAAACATGTGACTAGTCACCTGTTCAACTAAGCTGATATACAGTGGTAAAGAAACTTGATACTTATTCCTCTTGGGAAGTGGTATGAAATTCTTGTGCTCAGGTAGTATTTTGAATTGCTGTACCATCGCTACACCTGTAGGGAAGATACTTGTGTGTACTGTTTCTGGTAGATGCTGATGTACAGCTCCAGTAATCCATGAATTACCAACCCAGGATTAGATGAGTGTTTTTGCAGTGGTCCAGCAAAGTATGGCTTCTGTGGTAATTGCATACTTGTTAGCTGAGTGTTGGATTGAATGTTGAACAAACCCCTAGTGTTTAAAGGATCACAGACTGTTCTGGGTAAAAGTAGGCTTTGGAACATGTTTGAGAAAGGAAACTATGATTTGTAACTATGAGATGATTTGTATTTAATCATGTGTGTACTTTTTTTAAAACCCTTCTAAGAGCTTCTTGTAAAATACTGCAGTTATGTGGTTAGGGGAATGAAGATTCTAGTAGTTACTGATATTAGGAAGGCAGACCCAGTATGTTCGTGGAAGAAGAACAGTTAAGCAGGTCTAAGTGCAGAGTCATATCCTGTACTGAGTTGCATCTGCAGAGTATAGAGGATCGAGATGGTGGTGCTCTTACATGTATTTGATATGACAGCTTCTGAGTGCTGTAAAATCAAACCTGTGAACTGGATCTTAGAGTGATAATTCAAGACAGGAAGCTTCAAAGACTCTGTACTGATGGCTGTTGAATATGTACTCAGTAACCCTGATAAGCAAAAGGACTTCTGCAATGCTAACTTGTTTTTTAATTTCCATAGAACAAAAAGAGCTTGCTCTCAACTTATAACTTCAGTTAATGCTGTTAGCTATGTGAATTATAGGTATGTTTTAGTATGCTGCATAAAAACTCAAAATGGAGGGTATGAGACATTGTTACACATCTCATCCTTTCCCCAAACATTAGTTGAGAAAGTTAGATCCAATAGAAAAATGACTTCCATGTCTATCTCCTTAATGCTAAGCTGCATCTAATCAGTTTCGATGGTGAGTGCTGCAGATGGCCATATCCTGTGGGCTGCCAGCCTGCATCTGGAAAGCATGAAACAGCGTGAGTGAGGATGGAGTAATAACTTGTGAGTACTGAACAACTGAAGTCCACATCCTTCTGCCTGATGCATGCTTGTGACAACTGCCTTCTGT